TTTCGAAAAACGGTTGTCGAGGGATTAAGTTCACTTGTTTCTTTGACGAGTTCATCGCTTGGTGCGGCTCCCTGATGATGCCGACTACTATACCGGCGAAACGTTTGAGAATGTATCAAGTCCATTGTCAGATGCTGGGAATCATGACAACTACTATGGCAGACGACTTCGGACTAAGTGCGTTCTACATAGTCGCCTTGACAACAAGACCAAGTTGCGACAGCGAGGTCAACCCACTTCTATAAGTCCAAATTAAACTTATTTAAAAAAACAGACATGTAAAATAATTTAATCTTATATATAATATCGATTTGTCATTTTGACTAAAAAGGGTGGTGCGTTTTTTTAACAAACTCCATTTCATTTACAGTGATAAAGGACTAGTAGTTGAATTGTTCCATAATGTGAAGGCCAATTTTTTTCATGACCCGAAGTCACTCATGCCAGTGTGGCGTAGTGGTTAATGTCTCTAGACTATACGCTGTACAACTAGGTTTTGAGTCCCACTAAAAGAGCTGATGAGACCTAGACGAGGTCGAAACCACAGTCCACTCTCGATGTTAATACCTTCTGGGAAGCAATGATATGTGAAAATCAATGGAAACATGAGGGCCTCTCATATAGTTGTGGGATAATTCAACTACCAGTCCTTCTTTACCTTAAACGAAATAGGGTAAATACAGCTACCATATCAAATCTAGTGGTAGTCTCAAAAACCTGGAAAAACTGGTTTTTGAAGAATCACCTTTTGACTTCCGGTGAAATAAATTTGCGAATCCCTTTCACCCACCTCTTCAAACGAAATTAAAGGCATTCCAACATCATTAAAATGTAATGTTTTGTAAATGGCTGAAGGTTTGAAGGTCAAACTGTGCCACATAATCGCATGCTGTGGCGTCGGCGACATTAATTCCAGTCACTACAACGAAACACTTGGATCTGCCTATGAATTACATCCAAAACGACCTAATCAGAGTTCATTTTGCAAACAAAAACATAAATGAAGTTTCAATAAAAATAAATTAGCGCAATTCCCTAATTTCGTCAGAAATAAATTTGATTATAGGATGGCCTATTTTAAACAAAAAGTCTTTTGTCTCAGTTTAAAATGAAATTTCGTTAATATGAGGACGTCTAGCCTAAAAAATACTTACTTGGGTTTGTCAAATAGAAGGCTTCGACCAAAATACCAAGCGCTTTTATTTCATCCTGGGTTCGTACGCATTGGCTATTGCGAAGGCCAGCTGCCTTTATGTGGATTAATACGAAGACAAACTTGGTGTTTCCAATCTGATTTAAATGGCAGACAAATAATTAAAAATAAACAAGGAATATGTACAGAAATTTGACAGAACATAATTAAGGAAAAAAATACTAGATTTTTTACCGTAACCAGGCTCCGTAGAATTAAGTGATATTCATTAATCTTTAATACAATAAAG